CGGCCGGCCGGGGCTGCTGGCGCCGCGGCTGCGGCAGGACGTGGCGGCGGGGCGCTGCATGCAGGTGAGCGCGGGCGGCGGGCGCCGGGGGCACCGCGCGGCGCTCTGTGACCGTCCCGTCCATCCCGCGGCAGCTCTGGCAGCAGAACGGCACCGGCGCGGCGCTCTGGGCCTGCCCCCTGCACCGCTGTGAGTACCGGCGGGGCCGGCGGCGGCGCGGTGGCATCGGCGGGCGCTGACCCCCTGCGCCCGCAGACCGGCGCGCGCGCTGGGCGCTGGGCTGGCTCGCGGCGCTGCTGGGCGCAGCCTGCGTCCTGCTGCTGTGGCTGCTGCTGCCGGCCAGGGAGGAGCCCGAAGGTGAGCGGGAACCGGCCCGGCCGCGGTGCAGCGGGTGCAGCAAGTGCAGAGGGTGCAGCGGGTGCAGGGGATGCAGAGGGTGCAGCGGGTGCAGGGGATGCAGAGGGTGCAGAGGGTGAAGCGGGTACAGTGGGTGCAGCAAGTGCAGCGGGTGCAGAGGGTGCAACGGGTGCAGGGGATGCAGAGAGTGCACTGGGTGCATAGGGTGCAGCAGGTACAGTGGGTGCAGCAAGTGCAGTGGATGCAGTGGTGCAGCGGGCGCAGCAGGTGCAGGTGATGCAGTGGGTGCAGTGGGTGCAGCGGATGCAGAGGATGCAGTGGGTGCAGTGTGTGCAGGTGATGCAGAGGGTGCAGAGGGTGCAGAGGGTACAGCGGGTGCAGTGTGTGCAGCGGGTACAGTGGGTGCAGGGGCTGCAGCAGCTGCAGCAGCTGCAGAGGGTGCAGCGGGTACAATGGGTGCAGCGGGTACAGCGGGTGCAGCGGGTACAGCGGGTGCAGGGGATGCAGCGGGTGCAGCGGGTGCAGTGGGTGCAGGGGATGCAGCAGCCGCAGCAGCCGCAGCGGGTGCAGCGGGTGCAGCGGGTGCAGCGGGTGCAGGGGATGCAGCAGCTGCAGCAGCTGCAGTGGGTGCAGCGGGTGCAGCAGCTGCAGTGGGTGCAGCGGGCGCTGGTGCTGCCACCCCGCGCAGGCCTGCGGCGGGTGCTGGTGCTGCACGCGGCGGAGCCGTC